CCAATTTACCATAACTAAATGTCAAATGATGTATAGTTTTTGCATTAATTATCTGTTAAACCACACATTTATAATAAATTGTATAGAGATTATTCTTTGGTTGTTTTCTTCTCTTCATTGATACTGACAAACATTTTGAAGGGTATTTTTCCATCCTCTGGCTATTTGAGACTGCCAAAAACAACTAACATGCTGGCTAATATAATGATTAAGAACCTGCTCGCTTCCTGGCAATCTATTAAAAATCTGATTAACAGTCCATCTGCAAAAATAAACACTGGTCTTTTTTACCAGTGGTCTTCTGTTTGCTTACATAATTATGCATTAATTATAAATATAATTGTTTGAACTGCTCTCCAAGAATGTAGTTCATGTTTAATTTTTGTGCTCAACTGGATCTACAGTGGCTTCTGCACCTTCATAGCGGATATTGAATCCTGTGTTGTGGTTGGGCTGATCCGTGATGAACTGGATTCTTACAGCTGGACCTTCGCTGATCACTCCTTCAAAGGGTATCTGACCCCCCCGACCTGAATCAAACAGCACCACAGAGCCAGCGTCCAGCCCACTCCACAACACCAACCTAAGGCGATACGGAGATGGTGTCAATGAACGGATTAGTGGTGTGTGATAATACAAAATTTATTACCAATTAAATACAGTGCCAGTACTGCTGATATCAAGAACAGATATCTGATCATTTTTATTGCTGTACATCTTTGTATCTTTTGTGATAATTACTGATAATTACCAGTGGTAATTGTTTAGTTTGAGATCTTTCTGCAACTCTGTGCGGTCTTTTCTGGTTTTAGTCATTTTGCATCTGACCCTTAGGGCCTTTGGAGCTGTACCTGATATGCCTATTCAGATATTCCTCCATACAATATGGTTGCTTTTACCTGTCAGTTGGTCCCAAGGCCAGTCTCTCCAGGTGGAGATGCAGCCTCTGGTCTTTGGGTGCTTCAAGGGACCAGGAGCAGGAGCGATCCAAGGTGGCATTAGGGCCATGATGGGGAGATGGGGAGAGCACTCGTCCCACTGTAGCATTCTTTACTGTTCCCCCACAAAGAGCTGAAGAGCAGAACACTCAATTTGAATTTGTTAGTGGAGTATCTTTCACAAAAAGTGAAATGAAGTATCCTTTTTGCTACAGAATTTTAAGAAAAACTGTAAAGAAACCGTTCTATACACACTCACCCCTGCACACAGGCTCCTTATCACTCCAAACTGGCAAGGAGGCATTAAGGCAGGTAAGCAGTGGTTCCCCACGCAGGTGGTAACCCATGTGGCAGTGAAAGCGCGCAGTCCCTCCAGGGAGCAGGTCCAGTACAGATACATCTCCGAAATGAGGTCTCTTTGGCAGGGAGCAACTCAGCCTGAAGACTACACGAGGATAGAGGAATGTGAAGTAAGTGAGTACTAATACAATAACATTAGGTTAGTTCAGACAAGTACGATGAGACAAGGTGTATCCTTTTGCAGCCCAATCTTCTTTTGGGGGGGGTTTACTTAAAATTAGTGCTATCAGGTTAATCTCGTTTGTTTTTATGAATATTACTGCTACATTCATATAGGGATGCACCGATATGTCTACTGCATATTACTGCTATAGATTTTTTTGCTTCTGAAATGCAGAACACACATGACCGGGTTTGCTGCACTGCCAGAAGCAAGGACTTCCATTTTTTACAAACCAGTCTTTTAGACTGGGCCTTGTAATTCTTGAAATAATGCTTTTGTTACTACCGCTTCAATTTTTTTACACACACATGTAAAAGAAAATAATACCCTCTCTCTCATTTTTATTGTTGCTGTAGATTGTGAAGACTAGACCAGTGTTTCCCAAACACACTGGTGTTTCCCAACAACTGTGCTGCGGCACATAGGTGTGCCGTGAGAAATGATCAGGTGTGCCATGGAAGATTAGATGATCAGAGAGGCTGCTGCAAAGAAGCTACTGACCATCCTACTCTCAAACGACACTATGAGCCACCGTATCACAGACATAGACTTAGATATGGCATCAGCTTCTGGAAAGAATAAAAAGTAGTCCATTTTTCTCTTTGCAACTAGACGAGTCCACTGATGTCACGAATGGTGCATTGCTGCAGATTTTTGTTCGTTATCGCTGGGACAGCAGTTTGCATGAAGACATGCGGTTCTGTGGAGAGCTACCAGCACGAGCCATGGCTCAGGAATGTTTCCACTGCATTGACAACTATTTCACTGAAAACGACCTGGACTGGCAGAAATGTGTTGGGGTGGGCATTGATGGTGCAGCTTCAATGACTGGCAGGCATCATTTGGCAGATTCTTGATCGTGCACCAGAAGCTAAATGGACCACAGTGAAAGCCCTGCAGCAAAAAAAGATTTCACCAGAGTTCCACGAGGTGAGGGATGTAAGTGTAAAAACTATCAATTTCATTAAAAATAACTCCAGATGTTTTTTCCAAGCTTTGTGAGGACATTGAAGCAGATCATGTCCAGCTGCTGCTACCACAGTGAGGAGAGATGGCTTTCAAGAGGAAGTGTTTGTTTGAACTGAGGAATAAGGTCTCTTCTTTTCTCACGGGGAAAAAAAATCTCCTCTTGCACATCATTAAGCCAAGCTTGCTTATCTCTGTCACATTTTTTTCACTGCTGAACGAGTTGAACATCTCATGTGACAAGAGAAACAGCAACATGTTTTTTGTTGCAGACAAAGTTGAAGCTTTACAAGAGGAAACTTGCTTTGTGGACTAAGAGGGCCCAGGAAAAGAGATGGACATGTTTCCACTTTTGTGACCCTGTCTGTCAGAACCTTTCACAACTGACAGAGATATTCGATGAATATTTCCCTGAGGATCCCAGAGAAGGACACATGTGGATTTTGGACCCATTTTCTGTGGATCCCGCTGAAAATGATGTTGCATTGCCCTCACATCTGCAGTCCCAGCTTCTGGAAGTTTCCACC